CTGCTTGGGACCAGGCCTCATCTTCCAGAGGGTCACCGTTCATCCACATCCAGCGGTCACCCAGGAAACGCAGGCCGATCCACAGCTGCTCAGTGATAGTGATGTACTTGTACTTGATCTCGGTCTCGGCCAGAAGGAGATCGGTCTTAGAGATCAGACTGGGGAGATCAGTTTGGTTCTCTCTGCAGTGACTCAGAGCGTCCTCCCAGGACATCTTCTCCTCCATCACAGTCACATCGATGCAGTAAAAAGGACGGGAGTATATGCCACTGGAATCATACCATTTTCCATCAGAACCGATCAAGCCCTTGTCTTCAATGCGCCTATAATAATTTGGCTCTCCTCTAGCCCAGTTTGCGTATGTAATGTGTCCACCTCCTGACCACATCCAAACAGCATCGTTGTTGGGATCTCGCTGAAGTCCGATCCATCCTTTGGAAATGCTTCCACCTGCATCTTTTCGTAGCTTGTCTATCTCACTCTGGCTATTAAAATAGGAAAGATCAGTGTGATAGTGTCGACAGTAAGCCTGAGCTTCATACCAATTCAACTCCTTAGAGATATAAATGTGTGTTTGTATGTCTCCATTAACAGCAATGCAAAAAAGAATGAGAAAGATGATTCTTCCCATGATCACTGCTCTGTAGTCCAAGCTGAGAATGTTTTCTGTGGCTGTTACTTCAATGTCACTTTAGTCATTCAAGGATATGACTTTGCATGAGGTTTGTCTTGTTTACACAAACAAAACGTATTCGTGGTCGGCTTAAAGGTTGAGAAACCAGGCTTTGCAGTGTACACCACATTTGTAGAAACCGGAAGGAGTGATGTCATAAAGATATTTGGTGGATATGAATAGAAGAAGAATCCTTTTTATCTCCTTGATTCCAAATCATCACTACAGTCTTAACTGAATGTTTGTAATGGGATGTCTGAATGTGCACCTTGCTCACTTTTCTGTGAAGTCTCACTGGCAATCTTACCAGTATGTGTGCATCTTTGTAGTGTGGGACTATGGTGTTGACGTGCAAGTGAATGTAGCCTCATCCCGATATGAGCTTTGCAGCAGTGTTTTTTATTCATTCTGCTTTGTACATAGTTAAAATAGGAATAGATAAGAAAATGGTTCTTTCCATGGTCATCAGTCTGTAGGCCAAGTTGTGATTGTCTTTGTTCAGTAGGCACCATTAAAATCAGTTCAGGATATGACTTTGCATGAGCTTTAACTTGTTTACACAAAACATATTCATGCTTGACTGAAAACCAAAGAGGAAAACAAATGACTCTCACAAGAACATAAGACACACAGTGACAATGTTGTACTACCAGGCTTTACAGTGTACAAGACATTAGTTGACAGAGGAAGGAGTGGTATCACAAAGCCATGTGGTCATTCTGAAGAACAAGATTGAATGATTTACACTCACCGGCCACTTTATTAGGTACACCTGTCCAACTGCTCGTTAACGCAAATTTCTAATCAGGCAATCACATGGCAGCAACTCAATGCATTTAGGCATGTGGACATGGTCAAGACGATCTGCTGCAGTTCAAACTGAGCATCAGAACGTGGGACGAAAGGTGATTTAAGTGCCTTTGAACGTGGTATGGTTGTTGGTGCCAGACGGGCTGGTCTGAGTATTTCACAAACTGCTGATCTACTGGGATTTTCACGCACAACCATCTCTAGGGTTTACAGAGAATGGTCCGAAAAAGAGAAAATATCCAGTGAGTGCCAGTTCTGTGGGCGCAAATGCCTTGTTGATGCCAGAGGTCAGAGGAGAATGGCCAGACTGGTTGGAGCTGATAGAAAGGCAACAGTAACTCAAACAACCACTCGTTACAACCGAGGTATGCGGAATAGCATCTCTGAACGAACAACACGTTGAACCTTGAGGCGGATGGGCTACAGCAGCAGAAGACCACACCGGGTGCCACTCCTGTCGGCTAAGAACAGGAAACTGAGGCTACAGTCCACACAGGCTCACCAAAATTGGACAATAGAAGATTGGAAAAACGTTGCCTGGTCTGATGAGTCTCCATTTCTGCTGCGACATTCGGGATGGTAGGGTCAGAATTTGGCATCAGCAACATGAAAGCATGGATCCATCCTGCCTTGCATCAACGATTCAGGCCGGTGGTGGTGGTGTAATGGTGTAGGGGATATTTTCTTGGCACACTTTGGGCCCCTTAGTACCAATTAGCATCGTGTCAACGCCACAGCCTACCTGAGTATTGTTGCTGACCATGTCCATCCCTTTATGACCACAGTGTATCCATCTTCTGATGGCTACTTCCAGCAGGATAACGCGTCATGTCATAAAGCGTGAATCATCTCAGACTGGTTTCTTGAACATGACAATGATTTCACTGTACTCCAATGGCCTCCACAGTCACCAGATCTCAATCCAACAGAGCACCTTTGGGATGCGGTGGAACGGGAGATTCGCATCATGGATGTGCAGCCGACAAATCTGCAGCAACTGCGTGTTGCTATCATGTCAATATGGAGCA